AATTAAGTTGGATATTATACTAAAAGTAAATAATACTGAAGTAAAACAATATGCTAATTTGAGATACTGTTTAATTTATATTAAAAATATGGTAACGCAAATTCTGTAGTAAGTATGCATGCTAATGAATAAATGTTAGGCCTAGCTACCGAAACTATATAAAGATATCCTGGCAGCATATTAACTATTTATATTATTAATATAACTTAGGATTCGCAACCGAAAGTATAATGGCAGTACCAGTTTTACCAACTGAACACATGTTTACTTCGTTCATTATGTGTATCAAAAAAGTCACTCGAGAACTGTCAGCGCTAGTTTTGAAACAACTAGTCAACACCACTCACCGCTAACGTTTGGGGTGATCTTTCACCAACGAATAATGAGATTGATTTTTACATCATAAACAACCTACGGCTGAAAGAGCGAACGTGCTCGGTGATGGGATTCGAACCCACTATAGCAGCTTGTGTGTCGATCACTCTAACCCTAGGCCATGCCATGCAAGGCCATAACATTTGTTTATCGTTTTACAAAATATATGCTTATTTTGTACTAGGTACACATACTGAAATAACAATGACACTTGTAAACCGTATTTTATTGGTTATCAAATTAACAATTTTATCCTTTCAAACTAGGGTAATGAATAATGTTTTACACATAATGTTGCATAAACTAAACTAATTGGTTGTACAAATCTTTCGTGTTTTTTTTTCTATTTTTTTAAGAAGTTAACTCTACACAATAGTCTTGTGTGTTCGTAGTTATGTAAATGTTTTCATCATGCCTATTCAGTAGATTTTAATCAGAATTTACAGAAATGTTTGATGCCATGGCCATGAACCATTTGATTAGCTGTTGCTGAAACTAATTTAAAGTTGAAAGATGCGCTCTACCCTCAGGTGGATTTCGGTATTGCTGTTAATTACACCCTCAGGTGGATTTCGATATTACTGCTAATTACTGGCACTCTCAAATGGTCCTTACTTTCAAGGACGGGAAGAAAATGTCAAAATACTACCAACTTCTAAATGGAGGCTTAGATAATGCGAAATTTGTCCATCATATGATAATAGATAGTCTTTAAAGTTTAAGAGCTTTTAAGAATATAATGGTTATCATTTCTTGGTATAAAGAGCCATGAATAGCTGCTTAACTAGTTTTTAAACTATGGTGACCTTGTTTTTTTCATTATTCTCTTTTTATGTTTCCCTCGCCTTTTGAGCCTTCAAATTATGAGCTATGTTTTTTAAGATAAACGATTTGTTTATAGTCAAGCACAAAGCTACACAATGGGCTATCTGTGCTCTGCCCACCACGGGTATCAAAACTCAGTTTCTAGCGTTGTAAGTCCGCAGAGATATCGCTGTGCAATAAGATAATCGAAATGTAATGTTTTCATATTCAAAGATCTATTATAAAGATAAATCTTTCTTTAGAAGTACGAAAAGACAGTCTTGAATTCGTTAGGAAAATCGAAAATTCTTTTCAAACAGTTATAAATACAATGTATTCCTTCTTATGGATCAATTATATTATCATAATACGTTGTTTTTTTGTTATTGTTTTTGAAACTTTAAGCAATACTAACTTTTGGGGAAAGAATTGTATATTCAACCAGATTTAGTAGTTGAAGAGATTGGGAAGAGCCTAAAGGAGTATTTTCCAAACTGGGGGACGCGCAGCCTTTTGGCGGAAGAGCCCAAAAATATCGACGGAAGAAACGGAAGAGTTGGAGACGACGAAACCTAACAAAACTATCACTTTGCTTTAAAAAGCTTTTTTTTTTTTGTTGCTCTCGCATTTAATCACTTCTTAAAAGCATTTTTAATTTTAAAAAATTATCATTAAAAACAGGTAAAGAAAATGTTGATTTGGCTGTTATCACTTGCGAAAATTGTTTTCATGTGAAGAAGGGGCGCAACGGAAACTTTGCTGAGGTGGGGGAGGGGGGAGCCGGTATTTAATGTTTGGAAGGCACTGCATTTACGTATTTAACAATAAAGACTCTCACTGTCCAAGTCTAATAAAAAAATTAACCATTTTTGTATCACCAAAACTTCACAACTATTCTGAGTTAAAATGAAGAAGAAACTTTTGAATATATAAGATTGAAAATTCCTCTTAAGAGATCGAGCCGGCTGATATCCTAACCTTACATTAACGGAGGATGAAAGGTCACACTATACTTACTGAGCTCTCTATGCTTTGTTTGTTTGTTTGAAGCTAAGCACAAAGCTACACAATGGATTATCCGTGCTCTGGCCACCACGGGTATCGAAACCCGGATTCTAGCGTTGTAAGTCCGCAGACATACTGCTGTGCCCTCTATACACAGCGTAATCACCGAATAGTGGAAGTACATATTTTTGTGAAAATCATATACATACAATTTGTACAGATGGCGCTGTAGAACTAACTATTTTAAAGTCTTTAGTGTGTGTAATATACATATATATATATATCGAGAAGCTAATAATTGTTAGAGAAAACAACTACTGTTGGATATTTTATTGAAGCCCTTTATCCTATTAGTAGACAGCAATGTAAAAGATGATGGAGGTTTAAAGAATTCTTAATAAACTTTCAAGAAAGAGTGGCCGTTCATCACTTATTAGTTTTCCTTGCTATCATATGATTGTATCAAACATATTGGTCATGGTTATGACTTGAACACTAATGATTTGTTTCTTGTCTAGAAAGTTAAACCTTTTTTTCTCTATGTTTAGCAAAGACTTACTTCTAGAAGGTCTAAATTGAGTCTTAAAATATTTTTTTGATTTTTAATAATGACATTTTTCACTCGTTGTGGGGTGCTGCAATTAGAACTAAAACTGTACTCACGTATGCAGCCTTAATTATGGGATATTTTGAGGGTAAAATGCTTGATATAACTCCCTCTACTTTAGAACTAAAAAGATAAATTATTTGAAATTTCTTGTGGAAGATTTTAAATGACTATTTCGTAATTTGGGACTTTCGTTTTGATATTAATAATTTTTCGAGTATTATTCAACCGAGTTTTAAATTAATTTCTGAATCTAATAAAAAATGTATGTTTTAAATGTTTTAATCTTCATTAAAGAAAACTGAGTATTGTAAACTTGAAAATGTTTTAGAAACCATCAATTCCCATCGTTAATTTGACTTTTTTAGTAATCATGCGAAAAATGTAATATGAAACACTCAAAGATTCCATTTTTTTGTCTCAAATATTAAAAACAAATATCAGTGTTTATTACAACTTAAACATTTTTTATTGAATTGTCATTATGCAATTAAGTTATAGAAAGAGGCTTTGATATTGTGAACTTTCTGATTCCGTAAAGTTTTCGGGTGTTAGTGAAATGGTATTCTGTTATTTGATAGTCACTATCTGAGATTTCGTTTTGATATTAATAGCATTGAAAATTAAACTGATCACATTACTGACAATACACTAAAAATGTTTCGTTTAACTGTAAAAATTATTTCAAGAACTCAACGGAAAAAACGTTATGTAGACTATTCTCTGGTTATCTCGGTAAAGCGTAATAACCATTGCTGTTTACTTTGTCAAAATTGTTATATACAACTAGATAAACAGATGTTATAAATCCTTGATCTTGTATTGTATGTAATGAATTTTATATTGGTGAAACTGATCATTTCCATTTAAGAATGAAGATACATCAATTTGAAGTTAGAAATCTCGATTTGAGCTTTCATTTTCATAATTATTTAATGACTACCCTTTTTTTTAGTCTCGTAGAAACAACAATAGGAGACTGTTTTTAAAAAAGAGAATTTTCGAACACTTTAAAGCTTCTATTTATAATATAGAGGTTTCTGGATAAGTACTGACATCAGATATCAGTTATATTTTTCTTCCTTTGTCATAAATTTTCAGTGAAGAAATGCAATGGAGTATTGAAATATGTATTGTATGTTTCATTATAGTAATGTATATTTTTTATATATATATTGATATGTTTATAATTTCAATTGATCATATTAATACATTTTTTACAGACATAAAACATTAAGTTTTAGGATTTTTAAATCTTAATTTTAAACATTTTACTTTTTGCGCCCCCCCCCCGATGGCTCAGTGGCAAATTTACAGACTTATAACGCTAAAAATCAGGATTCGATTCCCATGGTAAGCAGAACACATATAGCCCCTTGTGCAGCTTTGTACTCAACCAAAAACAGCCATTTTTAAAAATGTATTATTTTGCTGGATTTTCTTTTAACAGTTTCTACTTTATAATTTTTTTGAGAAAGCTGAAGAACGATTTATAAGTCATGATATTGGTCCGAACACATTATAATGAATACGTTATGTAAGGATAACAAAGGTGTTTATTATATATATATATATATATATGTGTGTGTGCGTGTGTGTATATAGTATAACTATAATAAAAATTCTCCATTTAAAATTAATATATTTTAAGTACTTTTTAAAGGAAAAATTCACCAGAGTCACAAAGTGATTTATGAACTTTGTTCAAGAAAGTTTGAATATAGTACAAGATGTTTCAAAATCATAGTCTGCTAGATACCTAAATGGCTTTTCTCGTAAACTAGCATTGCTTTTATTCTACTTCTTCTTTCCATCTTTTTTAATTCAACAATACGAGCTTGTTTGTAAGCATTGTCCAGAATAATTGACGCTTGCTGCAGCTAAATTTAGAGATAGGCTTCATATGCTGGTTAAAAATGATGGAAAGCCTGCTGAAAACCATTTGGGGCATCATATGCTGGTTGAAAATAATGGAAAGCCTGCTGAAAACCATTTGTGGCAATATTTAACACATCATGTATTATGTTCCAACTTTTCTGTGTAAACACTTATAATTCTTAATTTTTCTTTTGATAAAATTTATCTCCCCTAGGAGAAGCGATTTGTAATATATTATCCTTTTAAATGTAGGAGATTGTTTATAAACCTCCTGTAGTTGTGTGTTTACGTTGTTTTCAACCACATACGCCTGACTTTCTTTACTCCATAGACCATTCTTAACTCCATGCACAAGTACCAACCCAGATTTCATCTCGTACGAGCCAACGACATTCTCAAGCTTCCGTACAGTACGTTTCGTACTTACGTATTTAAAGAGACTGAGTTCATTGCTGTTACTGCTTATCAGAATGAAAAGGTAAGTCAGATTTAAACCTAGACCCATGTGATATTAGAATATACTATTTAAGCATAAACTCCTGTGATATTAGAATCTACTATTTAAGCATAAACTCCTGTGATATTAGCATCTAATATTTAAATATAGACTCCTGTGATATTAGCATCTACTATTTAAATATAGACTCCTGTGATATTAGCATCTACTATTTAGATATAGACACCTGTGATATTAGAATATGCTATTTAAACATAGACCTCTGTGATATTAGAATCTACTATTTAGTCATAAACTCATGTGATATTAGCATCTAATATTTAAATATAGACTCCTGTGATATTAGCATCTACTATTTAAACATAAACTTCTGTGATATTAGCATCTAATATTTAAATATAGACTCCTGTGATATTAGCATCTAATATTTAAATATAGACTCCTATGACATTAGAATCTAATATTCAAATATAGACTTTTTCAATATTACAATCTAATATTTAAATATAGACTTTTTTAATATTACAATATAATATTTAAATATAGACTTTATTAATGTTACAATATAATATTTAAACATAGACTCCCGTGATATTGGATTCTGGTATTTAAGTCCATATGATTTTCTTGACTCGGTCGTTATGAACCGATGTAATAATTCACTCCATTAGTTAAAAATATACTAACTAATAATTATAACAATTAGAACTTAATTTGAACAAAATGCTTTTGAAGTGTTTTTAAATATGTGTTTGCATTCTAGTGGCCGCAAATTAGTTGTTTTAACATCAAAATAATCTTGGTGTATATTTTATTACAAGTTACAGCTTTACCGTAAGATTTGTGTTTAGAACAGGTACGATGTTTCGATCACTGGTGCGATTATGCACGTCGTACTTGTTCTAAATACAAAACTACTTACTGTAAAAGCTGTAACTTGTAATAAAATATACTTAATTAGTAAGTAAACTCAAAACAAAACTATTAATCTTGATGTATGTGTGTGTGTTTGTCTTTGTAGTTCATATTTGTGTAGAAATGATCTATTTGTAGATCTGAAACTAATTTTTCATCTGTGTTATTTTGCAGCAAACATTTGGCCATTGCAAAAGTGAGAGTGTATTACATTAACAAAGAAAAAAAGAAAAAAATTAATTGAGAGACGTCCCTAAAAAATTCAATTACCTGAGACATCAAACACCTGACAGTTCTACTTGTTAAAATTATGGCATTTACTTTTGCAAAAAAGTGACCGATCCACGAATCCACAAATATAAGAAATGATCTCCTGATCAATGAAATCCCTCAAAGAAAAGATAATTATATATGAGAATTTACTAAGGAGATGATATACGTCACCACAGAACGAAACTGAAACCTAAGTCAGGCTAGTAACAATACATGAGATGTTACTAAGGAGATTACATACGTCATCATAGAACGAAACTGAAACCTAAGACAGGCTAGTTAGTAACAAGTAGAAATATATCAGAATCAATTATGATCAGATACTTTTTAGTTATTCGCAAAATCCATTCTTAGTTAAAAACAAAAAAGACTATTTAGTGGCTTGTTAATTTCAACAACGAAAATTGGAAATTCACTCAAAAAGTTTTTTTTTTTAAGTTTTGAAATGTGAAATTCGTTTTTCTTTTGTATATTTTATCATGAATATTTTCATTTAGTATAAGTAAATAATTAAAAGATGAGAATTTCTATGCAAGTAACCATGAATGTGGATATTGAGATTTAGGGTATATAATGCTGTAAGCCGTGTTTTAGTTTAGATGTTTGCTAGAGGACGCATAACGTTAAGCTTCAGAAAGTTCATGAAAGTTAAGAATCGAGAAGCTTTGTGTAATATATAGAAACAAGAGTACGATATAAATATGAATAATCATTAATTAATTGAACTAGTTCAATAAAACCAGTTAGTTAGTTGGGTAATTAGTATTCAATGAGTTTATCAATTCAGTATTAGAAACGTTATTTGGTGCTAGAATTGAAAGTCATCGCGTCTATTTTGCTATTCGGTTACTCGGTGAGTTACATGTTTGTTTATCGATCTAAACTTAAGTAAGTTAGGCCTATATTAATTTTGGTGTTCACGTTGAAAAGTTTATTTTTAGAATTAAGCTTAAAAATTAACGTGACCCCTAACAAAAATTTGCACAGCGGTAAGTCTGAAGACTTATAATAATGCTAAAAACCGGGTTTCGATGCTTGTGGTTGGCACAATACAGATAGTTAGCTCATTGTGTTGCTTTGTGTTTAACTACAAACAAACAAAAGTTTATTGAAGAGTTATATATTACTTGATTTATGACATATTCAATATACCGAGCCTAGAAAGGCTCACTTCAGACGGCTGAGTTCGCTTCTTGCTGCTAGATACGCTTATGCTTGAAAGATTTTAATACAGGGCGTAGTATTTGTGTTTAATTATTACTGAACTATTTTGGTATGGTTTTATAGCTCTTATTATTTTATGATATTAATAATCCAAGAGTGAAGGTCGGAAACTAATTTTTGTTATTATTAATAACAGCTATTACTACTATTTCCCATGCAAGCTGTCCTGTTTTTAATCGGTGTTTTTTGGGAAAATGCTTGATATACGGGATATCCCTAACGCTTTTGGGAGCTATTACTGTAGACATATCCTCTTAAAATTACCCATTTTGTACTTTCTTAACAAATGCTATAATTTTTGGGTGTTTTGTCCTTGCTTTTGGCGAATTTATTATTCCATTTCAATTTAATCTCGTTTTATATGTATATAAATATATAATTCTAATATACTCAGTTTCTTAAAAAAGAGGATCAGCATGGTCGAATAACTGTTAGTTGTTACATGAATGACATATTCCTGTAATTCTTATTTTTTTATAAATATGTGTAGATTTATTTCCTCAAGCTAAAGCTCCCTAAAATGACACAAAGTTTAAATTGCTTTATTAGAAATAAGCATTTGATTTTATTCATGAGAAAGCACTGAAAATATTTCATGATTTATGAATGGTCAATGATCATACCATGTCAAATATTATTTATGAATGGTCAATGATCATAACGTGTCAAATATTATTTATGAATGGCCAATGATCATAACATGTCAAATATTATTTATGAATGGCCAATGATCATAACGTGTCAAATATTATTTATGAATGGCCAATGATCATAACATGTCAAATATTATTTATGAATGGCCAATGATCATAACATGTCAAATATTATTTATGAATGGCCAATGATCATAACATGTCAAATATTATTTATGAATGGCCAATGATCATAACATGTCAAATATTATTTATGAATGGCCAATGATCAT